AGAGATGTTTTTTTTTTTTTTTTTTTTTTTTTTTTTTTTTTTTTTTTTTGGGCGATTAGGACGTTTAGAGTTTCGGTTTCCTTGACCAACTGCGCGGCGAGACAAGGGTAACAATATCTGGCCCCTAAAAGAAAAAAATAAATCTAATTTGTAATTTTAATATCAGCCTTAGCATTGCCGACATTCTGAAGACTAATAAAGTCGTAAATGTTAGCTCTAGCTTTACTTTGTCGTTTTTGAATATACAAGCTGTCCCAAGTTTTTGCGACGAAATTTTGTAACTTTGTCAGTATGTTCTACGAGTGAAAGTAAGAAAAAAAAATGATGTGAAAAAGTAGGCTCGTAAATGTTTTATTATAGAGTTATGACATAAATATGAAATATAAAGAGAACGGATTTACGGTCACTACGATACAAAGTAGGAATGCATCGGCAATGTTTACATCCAGTCTGTTCACGTTGGCTGTGTTTACTATTTGAGATCGTTCAAGGTTTCGAATGTAATTTCTGTTAGTACATTCTTGTCTCGTATTACAGTAACCGCAAGTCTGTTACTTTTTTTCCTCGTATTTCGTATATTTACTGTAACTTTTTAATAACGCTTCAAACAATCTACGTTTATATAACATTTTTCTCTTACTTATACCCGTAGAACATATTGAAAAAGTTTCATAGGGGAAAAAACTGGGACATCTTGTGCAATCGTGGTAGTTTTCTAAGGAAAGATCGTGCTAATTAGAAGTGAGAATTTTAGTGTGTTAAGTGATTATTTGTGGTGTTTCTACAGTGAGTTAAGAATTAAGGAGGAAATGTTAATGGAAAGACAGAGAAATAACTTACCACTATAGGTGTAAATTAAGTAATTACTTTCACTAGGTTATGTAATTATGTAGAAAAATATAATTGACTTATGCGAGTGATTAAAAATTAATTAGTAGTTGTGACAAAATATTTGTACATATAATTTTCGTTATTGAGGTGAAAAACAGGGTGTTTAATTCTCTTCTCTGCTGTTGTATGCAAAATACATTTTAAAGGAACATTCGACGATCGGATAATTTGTTCTAAAACGTTACTTTTCTTGTTGTGAAATGAAATTAATTTTAATCAATCATAAGTTATCAATAATTAAGTTATCATTTTTTTTTTTGAAGTTACATTGTTGTTTGTTAGTGTCTACAAAAGGAACACAAAGACTCTGAATTAGATCTAGAAAAAAAATTACACTAAATTTCGTTGCAGAAAAATAACTCTTGAAAAAATAATCTAATTGCACGAAATATTTGTATACACCTGCAACAGCAAAGAAGACGATTAAACGCTCCATATATCCGGTGATACAAAAAGATATTAAACATCGATCTTCCCGCTCGTGAATTAAACATGTAACGATAAATCATCGAATTCCTCTAGAACCGTTTTAAACCGAGAAAATATTCGAAATCAATGATCACAATTAACACATTGTTGATCTTAAAACGCCACAATGTTTATTTATCTCGTTTGTACAATAAATACAGACTGCGCAATTTGAAAACGGCACAAAAATTTTATCGATTTTTCCCCGACTTTCTCTCGTTTCGTCTACCTACCTCCATTCTCACTGAGGCGCACAAGCAGGAAAACATTCTTATCGATTGTTTGATTTCCGTTCAATTCTCAATCGTGTACGGAACTAATTCTTGAACGATACTCAACGCAAATGCTATTGATTATTACTAGCACTGGCGAATATCCGTAACGAAATGAAGAAGAAAAAAAAAAAGTAAAAAGATACACAAATGCGGCGTTTCTTCTCGAATGAAATATCCGAAATTGCGTCAGTCAAATTTCCAAGCACGGAAAGATCACGGAGAAATCGTCGCTTCGTTTCTCTCAGTTCGGTGTCTCGTCAAAATAAAAGAGAGCAAAAATGAACTCGCACGTTCCTTTGTTCAATCTCAGTAGAGAGTCGTTTTCTTCGTTTCGTTGGGGGGAAAAAAAGAGAGAGAGAATCGTCACCTTTTTATGTTCGTTTTTGGTTAGAGAAATCTTATCGAATGTTCGTCGTTCTAATCGTAAAGCAAAGAGAAAAAAGGATATCTCTACGCGAGTTCTAAGAATTCTCCTTGATCGATATTCGTCGATTGTATCGCGTGTCCTTAGTCGTTTTTGTTATCGTCGTTCGTCGTGGAGAAAAGCCACGGTGGTTGGAAACAGTCGAGTTGAATTTTCGTGCGAAGACTGCGAGCCCGAGAGAGCGGATCGCGCAGACTTTGCGAGCCGACTGTCTTCTATTATTAGACGAAAGGCACGTCTTCGGTTTGGTATCTTGAAGATACCGCCTCGCCGCGAGACTTGCTCTCTTCCACGAAAAGTACTTGATAGCCCGATATTCGAGCACGTAACCCGCCCTGCAATACCGTTTCGTTCGGTGGTCCAGCTCGATCGGTAATACGTGCTTGTTTAGCATGGAATTCGCGTGTGGGATGCTACTGTGAATCGTGGACGGTGGACTTTGAGAGATCCAAATTAGGCTACTGTCTGTTAACGGCGACAGTCATTAGCGTACTTTAGATTGGGAAGTAATTTTGTCATTCTTAACTTGATGCGGCTGAAGAAAGTAATGAAGTATTTGAGAAACGAGGCCAAGTGTGCTTATTTCGTTTAAGTCGAATAATGAAGATAAGTACTGAGAGAGATCTGAATTAACCTCGCGACTTTTAACCCTTTTGTGAACACTGGGGTATGCAAATGTTAACATTTGAGTACTCGAGTGAAAATTGATCTCAATTTGATATTCGTTACAGAAATGAGAAATTTTGTTAAGAAATAATTCGATCGCGAAAGGGTTAAATGTGAGAAGTAGTTTCTTTATTTATTACTTTTGAACACCCAACTATTGTATTTTAAAAATTAAGTAGGAGATTTAATCGGTACCGATGTGAACGAAACTTTGTTTAAAAAGTAGTTTCAGAGTTGCTTAACACAAGGAATTTTAGACACAAGACAAAATATAAAAAAAATACAGGAATAAACTTAAACAGAAATTTGAATTCTGGAAGACCTAAAGAAGTTAAAGCCTTAAACTATACAATAATAATAGTAATTATCATTTAAAATCTGCACCAAAAGTAGACAATTTTCGACAGCCACAATTAGGTCAGTGCCGTACCTAGCGAAGAATTTGACAATTATATCAACACTCGCAGTGCATATACTATTTTAATAAATACTGTTAACACATGCTATGTGGGTTTTTACTGATAAAACAGAACAGCCGTGATGTGTGCGCCTGTATGTGATATCTGGGAGATTTTTTAACTGAGAAAGCATTCTCCCTATCTACTAGAAAATTCTATTGTGAGAGTTTGAACATGCTCTTGTAGATTTATGCGAGAAAGAAGGTTTAATGTCGATTCAGGTTGCATTTTTATTATGAAATGTTCGTAAAATTGTGTCGGCCATTGTAATAGTTTACACTACTAGGTAAACGTGTCCTCTTCGCTAGACACAGCACTGATCTAACGGTTGCGCACAAAAATTTCCTATTTTAAGAAAGATTTCCTAGATTTTAATTGTTAATAATTGATTAACAAGTCTTAGACGCAAATCTCGTCACTCTTGATTTTCAATTTAGAGTGGCTTCAGGAATCACCCTTCCAATGAATGAAATTTTAAACAGAATTAAGAGATAAAGATTCGACTAAAATTGTACAACAAAAAAATTGGTAGACGCAAAATGAGCAATTAATTCATTCGTTGAAAGCTTTGACAAAATATTACCGATTTTTAAAAAATTTTTCAAAATACTTTGGATACTTTTTCAAGTGAACGTGTTATGCAATCGGCTAGTTTAGACATGAAAAATATGTTAGTATGCAGATAGTAGGATAAAATAGTATAATGTGATTGCATGAAATAATTAGTTATCAGAGTGACATAGAAAGTTTTACAAAAATTTATTCAGTCTCGTCGGTTTAATTCAAAAATGATGTTTTCTTCTGAAATTACATAAGTGTATCAAATACAAATGTTTCAATTTCTGGTTTCTCGACAACAGTGTGCATACACAAATTAAAAGCACGTTCGATCGTAGTTTTCATACATGCCATGCGTTAATACTATAAATTCGTGCAAAAAGTGTATGCAAAGAAAAACAATAAACAATTGTCCTCTAACGAAATATATTTAAAAAATGTAAAAATTCTGTAACTCTTTATCGAGTTATTCAATTAACTGATGAAGTTAAATAAAACATGTATAAGAAACAGAGAAAAAGAAACATCGTCGATGGAAGACTTGTGTCGTGGATTTAAAAAAAAAAAAAGAAGAGAGATAAAGACTCCGTAAAGCTTACTAGAGCTGGAGTCGAGTAATGCTGAATTTGTATGTTTAGATTCCTTATGCGTACATGTTGAATAGCTGAAGAGAGCTAGTTGTAGTTGCAATTTTCGGTGCACCGGTAGGGATATTGAAAATAATGAACGGTGCCCCAAAGCGATAAGTGTCATGCAGTAAGAGTGATGATGGCGATAAAGTAGAAAAAGAGAAGTAGAAGTAGAAGATGTTAGGTGAACTCAGTATCTCTGAAAGAAAGAGAAACATCTGATAACACTAAGCCATTCCGTGATTCATTTTCCTTGTTATAAGTGGAATGTGCTACAATTCCAAAACGTTGTCTCTACATTTGTGAACGCGCGTACAGTCTTTTCAATCGTTCAGCTAACTATAAATTCGGTTAACGAATATTTTAATTAAATCTCTACGAAAGAACTGGAAAATATGGAAACAACACCGCCCAATTTCAAACCGAAGGAACAAATTTTCAAGACTATATGGTCCTTCAAAAACGTAGAGACAGCCATGCAGAGTCGAAAAATCATTATGTCGACCTGATTGCTGGGGTCACGTTCTGGATCGTCCGTCATATCGGTGCTGAAGTCTCTTCGAACCTGTTGATTATATCCATCCCTTGCCACCTTCACGTTCTCGCTCTCCCGTAACCTGTTCATCTCAATTTCCAATTCCATGATCTTCTGTTCTTTCCTCAGCTTCGTGTTTTCTAATTGCTGTTGTCTCTCCATGAAACCTTGTATAGTCTTGATCGCTTTCTCGTGTTCGCCTTCTAATTTCTTCAGCTTGTAATCCGCTGTTTCGACGTGCTTCTGCATGTTGCACAGCTTTAATACTAATTGCTTCCTTGCTTCTTCTTGTCGTTTCAGTTCATTGTCCTTCTCTTCTAATTCCTGAATCAAAGACATTTTATTTGCATATGTTAAACAGTTTTTTTAGTAATATCCAAGGACTTATATTGGTAGAATTGTTGATATATATTATAAATTCTTGTATTTTCGAATTGATACGTGTTATCAGAAAAGAAGAAGCATAAAAGTTGCCGCAAACCTTGATTAAATCTCTCACGTCTTTGACCTCTCCACTGAGAGCTCGTATTGGCGACTTCACTCTCGTTAACCTTTCTCGATTTAGTTCCCAATCGGGACAAGTGTTTCCCCTCTTTGTCACCCCTTGGATACAGGTTGCCTTCTGTCCTATTCTTGCCAGCAAAGGATCTTCCATTGGCCTCATTGTTGACGGACTGCTAGGGGGTGATCTTTTGGCATAGCCGTTTTCGAACTGCAATCAAAAATTCGTTGAACTTAACTAATCGTTCAGATATCTATTCGAAACATAAGTGTTGTTTCCTTTCGTTGTTTAACCCTTTCGTGACAGAATTATTATTTTAAAGAATTTCTTGTTTATCTATCGATCTGTAATAGATACTAAATTGGGATCAATTTTGGTTCCAGAATCCCAGTGGGAATATACACATCCCACGAGTTAGAAAATATAGAGTTAAAAAGTATAATATTTATAATATATCAAATATTTTCCAACTCTCTAACGTGTCGAAAATTGGCAAACATATGTTTCACAAAAAATGTACTGTTAATGCTAAAATGTATGCTGCAACTGTACTATTAGGGAAATTATAATCATAAATTTTTATACACAATAGTCGATAAAAAGGAATTTGCTGTAATACACGTGTACTGAATAGTGAAAAAATTCATAATTATTATCTTACGTGATGAATGATCGAGATATTCGCGTAATTTTTTGACATACTTTAACTTGAAAAAACTGGTTGTGTTAATGTTAGGACACGTCAACGTTGGTGTGCAAAATTCAAGATTGGTGGTTTCTCACTGGAAAATGAGTCAAGAGGAAGGCCTGATAAGGCTGTCGGTGATAACGTTTTAAGAAAAATAATTAAAAACGAACCACGATAAAGAATATAAAATTTTGCCGCATCCTCTCTTGTTCGCTAGACTTTCTCCCAAAAAAGACTATCGTTTCTTCAAATACCTGAACAATTTTCCTTTAATAAATAAATTATTCAGAAGTAGCATTGAAAGAAATTTTTCATTTGAAAACACGACATTTCAGATGCAGCAACCTAATATATTAAGTTTATGCAAAAATTTCCATCGTTTATAAATCGATGGCACTAAGGCACTGTATGTTTACTTTCTTATTTAAATTTTCACAATTGGTACTTATACTAAATATAGCATCAATATCATCGGCTGTACAAATTAATTCGGTGCCTTTGTTTCAAAAATTATGGCGACCATTTTGAACATTAAAATTCTGTTTTTAAGTTTGCAAAAAATGGCGCCGAATTAATTTGCACACTTAATATATTATTGCTATTCTTAATAAAAAAATAAATACACATTCTCCAAACAAATATGATAGAAATTTTTGCACAAACCTAATATATTTCTTTGACAGACAAAAATGGCATGAAAAATTTGAATTGTTACCTGAGAAAGAAGAGCACGGTGTTTGTTGTTCAGGTCCGTGAGGGCATCGTCCCTGGTTTTTATAGACGCCCTTAACTGATCGACTTGCTTCTTCCTCTTCTCCGAAACTGCGTTCAGCTCCTCGTACACTCGACACTTCTCATCCAGCTGTGCATTTTTTTCCTTAATGACTCTTTCTTTCTCGAGCAGCTCGTTTCTGCTCTGCTGTACGACAGTGTCTCTTTTCAGCAGCTGTTCCTCCAGTTCTTTTACTTTCTCCCGCAATGCCTCGATGTCTTGCAGCCTCTCCGCATCCAAATTCTCTCGCAAACGCGTCTCAATTTCTAAACGTTCTCTGAACTCGTCCCGTTCGCTCTCGAGTTCTTGCACCCAGACGCGTTCCTCGTCCAAGCTGCTCGTCACCTGTTTCACCTATGTTCATTCGCGGATAATTCCGAGTTACGATTATTATTCACGCTTTACGCGAAACCGAGCACAAAGGTGTAATATTCCTTTGTACGTTTGGGGTATACGAAACGGTGATTAACCTGCCGGCGTTTATTCGTTTGTTCACTTTTCATTCGTACCGTGACAATTTCGTGGATAATTGGTTGATAAATGACTATTTCTACTTTGAAAATTGCGAGCATGAATGCGAATAATGGACAGTTAAGAAACGAGGACGATTGTGTCAATAATAGTATTAACTGTAGGGTCAAAAAGGACCCAAAGACCTTATGTGTAACAATTTTTGTTACCAGCACGCCGATATGAACCTAGACAATAAGCTTTTAATGTAACGTTAACCCCTTAACCTATGATTTCTTTTCTGACTATGCATCTAAGCGTCGGCCATTTTGTTTTCGTACTGTACCAGGTAACAAGAACTAATCTGTCACAGATTAATTACATTTAGCAATCCTCGGTCTTACAAATTCAAACGAAACTTAGGATTGCAATGAATTTCTCTTACTAATGTAACTATTTTTCTCAGATCTTCGCCAGGATCTGTGCCACGAGTCGGACACGTCGTCATATGTGAAGGGGCTAAGGGAACAAACTTGAACAAAATGGCGGTGGGTCGAAAAAGACCCGGAGACCGCAATAGGGTTAAGAAAATGAACAGACTTCGTGTTACTGTTCACGATTTACGCCTCGTAACTTTCCAACAAGTAATTAATAAAGAAGAAAAACATTTCGCTACTTTTTCAAACGATAAACGTTTTCCAAAATTGCGGTAAATTGTAATTGATTATAAAGAGGCTACGAATGAACTAAATTCTCAATAATTTAAATTATAATCAATTATAAACAAGTATCCTCTTTTAACGATTGCTGTGCATCTATAATATCAAGATATACGCTTTTGTATCTTCTATTATCGATGATACAGCATTGAAAAATGTTCGAACTGTCTTATTTATTATTGCGCAACATTTTTACACCATACGTTGTTGAAATCGTTTCGATAATAACTTTCAAGAGAGCAGAACTAATTTCTATTTTCTAATTACTACAACAACGATCGTGAAAAAAAAAAACAAAATAGAAGATTTAAACTGAAATAATCTACGTAGAATACCTGACTGAATCACGATTCCTTCGTTCTTTCCTATTCAGATTATTCTTATTGGAACCACAATAACTAAAGGTCGACAGAATTATTCTTATCTCTCAACGAACAAGAAATTTTTTCAAATATTCTGTTGGTGAAACATACGGCCTGTACTTATCCGCGAACAGAAACATACTGATTATTTTTTTTCCCTCCCGTTTTCTGAGCAACAAGAGAACAAGCTTATCAAACACGCGTTCTTTTCGCCGCAGCTGAAGGAAGTGGACGAAGATAGCGTTGAAATAGTGTTGACGCAAACGGAACGGAAAAGTAAGTGGGACAGCGAAGAATTTGCTTATTAATTACTGTGAACGGTGTCTGTTTTTACAGAACTAACATTTGTAAAATCGGGACGTAGGAATTGGTCACTTTGGTTCTGTGGAAAATTCTAAAAGGTTGTCTGCAGGGTGCGTCACGCAATTAGGACGGGAGGTACTTCGAGTTTGGTAAGAGAGAGAGAAAAACTGTTGAAGGAAAAGTTGAATAGTATGTGCATGTACGACTTATCGAAAATGTGAGATATCTCGTGAAATATTGACTTTTTGAACATTGTACTTTAATACTCTTTCACGCAGAGTGTTCCGAGGAGTTGATACGAATAAAAAGAATGCATTTGCATTTTTCGGGGGCATCGTTGCACTTATGAGGAAAGCGAAGTCCTGGGAAAATAGATATTACTATACCATTCAACTTTTCCCTCGACAGTTTTTTTCTATCTCTTGCCGAATTCGAGGTATCACCCGTCCCAATTATGTTTAGAGTTTCCTTAACGAAGAGCAAAAAATGAAGTGACAAGAAATTTTGTTTAAATTAGATATCGGTATTAATCTATTCTAGAAGGAATACTTTCAGTAATTTTTACTAATGCTTTGTTTCACATTTTAACCCTTTGCGGTCTAAACAGTCCGGTTAGTCCGCACTCATTTGGCTACTCTCGGGTAGTAGCATCTAGTTTTCCTTTATTTCAATATTTCAGCGTAATATCAGTTATGAAGTACTAAGTTTCGGTGTAATATTAATGCATGAAAAATGGTTTATTATTATTTATAGTTTATCGTTATATGATATCTGAAGGCAAAAATTCTCAGTCCGACTCGACGCAGGACCGCAACGGGTTAAATTATTTCAATTACTGGAAAATATGATAGGAGAAAAATTAGAAGTGGAAAAGATTTTCTGTGAAAGTTATAACGTTTGTATACGACACTATTATATCACATATCTCTGATGTCATCTTACCTCGGCCTCTAGAGATGCAACAAGCTCCTCCATTTGACGCAATTTCTCCTCATTCTCAATTGCCTTTTCTGGCGTAATGCCGAAAGCTTCCTTATAGTAGATAGACGCATCCGTTACCTTTTCTTGGTATTCCGCTAATTCTGTCGCAAGAGAGAGAGTAGTAGAAAATTTTCAGCACACCGAAAATAAAGTAGCTCGACGAGAGGCAAAGGGTGGATAAATGAAAGAAGGAATTTAGCAGGGCAATGACTTAGTTATGCTTGTGTATTCGGCACGGTTATCAAAATATTCTGATAAAATACTACGTTTCGACAGGGAATAGAAGGTTGGCTTAGAAAATTGAAGGAGAAAATAGTAGGATAGTAATAGAATAGGTAAGTTAAATTAAGTTAACCCTCTGTTGGTAACCTGGGTCATTAATGACCCAGGCCAAATTTCACTCTTGTAGAGAAAAGAAGTTTGAAGCTTTTGACTTAACGAATAGTTGTATAATGTAGTAGAGATTTTGATAAGTGTCCCAGAATTTTTTCGGGAGTTCTTTAAAGCCTAGAACGGTAAGAAAATTAGACCTACCGAGTGTCAGAAGATATGTTTGCCAAAGGAGGGTTAAGTTAGGGGAATAAGACAAAAAGAAATGAATGAATGGGCTAAATTAGCAATGTACAGTTAGGATTAATGTGGCGAAAGTGGAAATTTCTTGGCTATGAAGCCGAAATAAGGAATATATACATTACAAACAATTTTCAGAGAGTTATATTATAAGAAGTAAAGAATCTGCTACTGTTTTCTTTTTTAGTTATTACTGTTACTCTATTGTTCCAGTAGTGGATCAGAGAGAATATGGAAATGAATTAATAATTAATTTCAATGTCAATGGTCTGCTTGTGTTACAAATTACAAGTACTATTTGTTGGTGCAACATTTAGGTGTTCACTAGTGAAGTTTATAAACTTCAGAAGACTAGTTGAAGATCAAATTTAAACGATATCAATTCTAATTTAATGCAAAGAACGAGCAAAAGCTGCAAACTCGATTAATTATGAATGAAGATATTATTAAATTTACAAATAACCGTAAAATAATTAAATATATAAATTGAGCAAACAGTCATACACTTGAATACGATAAGAAATCAAATTGAAAAAGATCGAATCTCTTTCGATAATTCTTAGCAAAAGAAAGTGTGTGAAATTTCATGTAATGACAAGTATCATTATATACCCTTTTCGAGCTTCCTAATCTTTTCTTGCTCCTTCTCAAGTGATTGTTGATACTGAGCTTGATTCCGTGAAGAGGCTTCTTTCTGTTCTTCAATTAATTCGAAAGCTTTGGCTGCTTGACTAAGAAGTTCCTGCTTCTCGACCAATTCCTGTCTTAGTGATTCGATTTCGACCTAACAGCGAGACAAAAATATTTCTTGGTATCTTATAAATAAAGACGAGAAACTTCGTAGTTCATCGAGTCTCTCTCACTAATCTTCAGTTTTTGTGCTATTAAAAAGCAAATTACTATAACGAATCTCGATGGTCACTGTCATCAATTAGACACGCAACTTTAATATAAAAGAAAATTGTTTGAAAATTAAAATTACTTCAACCCTTTCGTGACCAAATTGCTTTTTTAAAGAATTTGGTATTTATCGCGTCCGTAATGGATATTAAATTGAGATCTCACTTTGGATTTGAAATTAAACACTCTCACTTATCACGAAAGGGTTAAATTAAAAAAAAAAAATGTTTGATTATATTCCACAAAACATTGCAAAGATTTGATAAAAAATGTTTTTGAAATGTGCAGAAACCTTTAATTCGATATTCTTCTTAATTGCATTTTCATCTGCTGATGTAATTCCCATTCGCTCTTCGAGAAAGTAAATCCGCAATTTAAGATTGAAGTTTTCCTTTTTGAGAGCCTCTAATTGATCTTCGTATTCCTTCATCGTTCTGCCGATTCCTGTCCCTTCCCTGGTTCCAATTACCCCTATCGGGGAGGTTTTCCCAGGAGATCTAGCGTTCGTACCTAAAACATAAAACGAACTATATATATATATATCTTCTTTTGAAAACAGAAATATTGTAAAGATTGTATAGTTAAATCGTACTACGTTCACATGACACAATTTGTTAAAAATTATCCACTCATTGATTTAACATTTAACTTAATATCTTTCAATTGCAATTAACTCGGTGTATCAATTAATATTACAGTGTATTTGTAAAACTTAAACAAAACTCAGCTATTGATTAATAAAATTTATCGAGATTCTTATTTTAACGATTATTATAAACAGTGATCCGAATCAATTCACTTCAATTTCTCAGTGATTGATTTACTATAAACTCCCTCCCAGCGTAATGTCCAAGATGGCTGCCATTTACAGTTCAATTTAGTCTGAGGAGTCACGCACTAACCATAACGTCCCCAATTAAGACGAAAAATAGAAGTACGAGAGTAATCTTATTTCTGAAAATCATAATTTCTCCATAAAAGGAAAGGTGTCCACTATTTTATCGCGCCTAGATCGAGTCTAAATTTTCCGTTTTTCATTTCTTCTATGAATTGAAATTAATAGAAATTAAAGTTAATTGAAATTAATAACCTTTTTCCCTTTAATTTTTCCCATTAAAACGATCAAACTCGTTGTAGAATGTACGCAAGTTGAGAAATTTAAGTGACACGAAGATAACACGTACGATCAAGAGCATAACCATCGAAATTTTCGATTGAAATCCAAACTACGAATCTGTTCAAAGCGTTAACCCCTCTGGAGCCCCAAGTTATAGAGGGACTGTTTGAAAAAGAAATTTGAATTATTTTGTTCAAATTCAAAAAATCCTTGGAAGGTTCAAAGTAGCCAAAAATGGTCTAATTCGTCATTTCTTAAGGCCAAAAACCCCTCGATTTTCATATTATTACGTTAGAATCGCTTATCGGATAAACTTTTTTTTGAAGAAACCGAACGATTATCGGTACACAAATCTCCTTACTTTCCATAATTAGAGAGGGTGAGATGCAGTTTAACCCAAATGCGGCGAGGTATTTTGTCAGCGTTGAAGCTTCCTTTAAGTCATCTCTAACGATGGAGAATTCTAACAAGTTTCCCAATTCCTAACACTTGAAATTTCTATCCTCTCCAAGTGCCAGAGTCCGTTAATGATTTTTCGCCGAGCCACCGATCCGATTACAGAAACAAGAAACACGATTGCATTGATCCGGCGCCGGTAACTTTACCTTTAACATTTACGTGCTGAACATGAGTACCCAAATTTTGCACAATCACGTTTACGGCTGTGACAGTTCGAGGCTTCCTAACCCGTACCCCGTGAATTACGATTGAAACTATCAGAATTGGCAGTTGAAAAAAGACGAGCTATCGATAATGTTAAATCCGTGCGCGTTCGAGATCTCGTAACGGAGACGAAAGTAACATTTAACAGTTCCTCTTGACTTTTAGGTTAGTGAGTTATATTTGGATTCCGATGAAATTTTATCGTTTATTCAGGTTTTTCGTATTTTTACAAAATTTATCTTACCTGGCACAGTGACGAACAAAAGTATTTCACTTAAATTGGACCAAACGACTTGAGCTTTTTTTTTTCAGAAGTTAGGATTATTGTACTAGATGACGTGTAAGCAAATTTTTGAAAAAATTGCAATTGGTGGAAATTGCGAAGAAAATAGCGAAGGTCCTTTTTGCAACTTTTTTATCTTAATGAAAATTTAAGAAATACGTTTTGTAGATTTATGCCAGTTATTGTCCACGCTGAAAGTTTCATCGAAATTGGTTGTGTACTTTAATGCAGCGATATTTAATATGAAATGCAAATCTTTTCGACGATTATTTATCAAAATTGCCTCGTAAAACTGATAGTACTCTACATCTTAAATAATTCGCTAAGTAATATTTGTTTATTCGTATATTCCAAGATAAATTAAAAAAAAAAATTCATCATTTCTCTCTACTTTCTGTTTTACCTCGAAGTTGACCACTTTACCTTCTGAGCGGCTGATATATCGAGATCGAACAGAGCCCCGTTTATGGCTCAGAATCACTCGCAATGCAAACACGACTTTGTGGACGCGAGAAACTAAAGATAAGTCTGTCGCGATTTGGTCCCTTTTAAGGACACGATAGATCCGTGACTAATGAACACACGATTGCCGCAAGTCACTCGGGGGACAATCGTTTTTCTCCAGGTGCGCTTGTTGCAAATGATTGAACGTTGAATCGATCCTATTCTCGAATTCATTCGAGCCACGTTACTGATGCCAATTTCGCGATGCTACACGTACAGGCCAGCCGCGTCTTGCTCCCTTTAAATCTTTTTGGCGCGTCACCAAGCGCCGTTAAACCTTTCAGCCGATCCTCACTAACGTCGTCTTCGATCCTCGTTTGACGCACATTTTTACAGGTGTCCATCCTTCCTTTTTCCATCGTCCCCTCCCTTCTCTACGTTCGTTAACACTGCTCCTGATTCTGTCGCCTTCTTCTCTTATTTATTCTCTCCCGCGAGCCAGAAGAGTCGAAAAGTGAAATGCGTTTGTCACGCGGTTAATGACTTCTTAGAATGTGTATCAGCCATGTGTGAACCCTACGCTAGAATTTTTAGGCACATTGCTCCTGTAACGTTTCATTTGGAAGAAAATAATTGGAGGCATTGTGTGAAACGTTATTGGTAAAGTACATGGTGGACCAAAAATTAGGTACTTTTTTAGTGAAAATGGTTTTTGGAGGGTGTTGTAGGTAGCTAAAGAAGAAAACGAGGGTCATTTTTCATAGAAATGAAAGATTTTAGACATTCGGTTTTATAGACATTTGGCTGTCGGGTTCGATTTCACTTCGACGAAGTTCGACACCAAAAAGTCTACAACCCAACTAGGATGTGCTAACTGAATCATTAAAAATACAAAAATTAGTTCAAAAATTCTACCTAGCCCATAACAATACCCATACTACTCTTTAAAAAGAGCTGGAAATTTTGTTCACTCATTGCGCGTTTTTAGGCTTAATATATACGTACATTGTTACGCTAATTGCTGAACAGTGCGTCTACTAGCAGTGAAGATCTATTATATTATCCGCTCAGAAGCCAAAGTGACTAACTCCATCAAATAAAATTTATTAAATTCGTTTATTAAATTAAAGTCGTTCTAGCCGAATATTTTGCAGTCCGGATACTGCACTTCAGTCGTGATTTTAATTATGCTTTTTTTTTGCACACCCTTAACCCTGTCGCTACGGCAGATTTTAATGCATAACGTGACCGACTGATGGTAAATTTTTAACCACGGTTGCAAAATTTGTTATTTTAGCCGTATCGTTTGAAAATTTGGTTTATTGAATTAAATTTAATAAATTTGCAAATTTTCAAAACGCCTATAGGCGCCAATAGTAATGAAAAGGTTAAGATGAATACAAAGGAGCGTGTAGCAATAGTTATCCGGCGAATCCAAAGAAAGAAGTACAACGAAATCGAAAATAAATTTGTAACGAAATCGAAGAAAGCAGGATCGATAGACAAGACGATACGTAAATTAGTGAAGAAATTCAAACGAACGGGTTCTGTGCACGATGAAAAAAGAAGTGGACGACCACGTGACTGCTGTGAGTCAAATCAGCAATGCTTTAATTTAGGACCTCGTTATATTTCTTCCACCGACTATACCGAGCCGAGAAATGCAAATCATCGAGGCATAAAAGAAATTCGAGAAGGAATAACGTATCTCGATGTTAAGTTCTGACAAAGAAGTAACCAACTTTACCATCCGAATGCACGCTACCGTTTGTGCTTTAATATAGTCTATTAAGCTCGACAGTTTGCAGTACGACCTTTCTTTGTACGAGACAATTCAACGCTAAGAGGGACGAGCATTCACCAAGGTAAATATTTAGCAGGCCGGTTCGCTTAATTTCTCATTGTAGGGACTGAAATGACCCAAGGTCACACGAGATACTGTGCCCGAAAGCTGAAAAGGTTCCAACGTAACGGTGACTTTGAAAAATTCATCAAACATTTCTTAGATCGTACAAAGCAATTATTAAGGAAAATAATATTACTAAATATTATTCAGAAATGTAGAATTTTAAAAGACTTCATATTTCTGTTTCATATCTCTCTATAATTTTATTAACGTTAAACAATTATTTTTTCTTTCTTTTTGGAAACGAACTAATGGAATCAATACTGATATTACCACAAGGTGAAAAATTAGGACAGTTTAATGGGAAGTGTGACAGAGTAAATCAACATTTCGAAATGATTTGTTTTCCTTTGAACGATAGAAACGAAGGCTAAGAAAAAATACTTTACGCAGAATTTTGACGATTTGTTTGCTTACGTAACAGAAAGTACTAGTTGAATTGAAATTGTAGGTACACGTGTAGCTGTAACCTGTTAACCGGTATTATTTGTCGATCAATTGCACTCGTTTATGGAGTATCATTAATCAACAACAGACGATTTAACCTTATCGTGCCTGTATCAATTGCGGTTATACTTTAATACGATTTCTAATGTAAATACAGTAACAGAATTAAAGACACAGAGATTCATCGATAAATAAATGAGTAATTTGCTTTAAAAAAAAGAAAAATCAATTTCATAAGGCACTTTAAGTATTTCAAGCAATTCTCAGCACTCAAAACGTAAGAATACTTCTTCGAGACGACCGTAGATAATCTTAAAGATAACAGTCACGTTATCGACGGAGTAACGCGGTGAGTTACGTAATTCCGTACGAACTTTTTCTTCTCTTCTATTACGTTTGTTCATTGAAAGATTACATGTCTATTCATGAACAAGATTAGATATTACTTTTCAAACAAATGCTATTTTTTACGCCGTGCGTACATTATAAACGATATATATTGCAACAAATTAAATTTTCCGATAATTGGAACGTTTCAAGTATAACAAATTCACTGACCTTCATTACCGACCCACTGTCAATTCAAATTACATATTCATTTTCACGGTAAAAACGTACAAATGAATTCAAACACACAGTAACATTCGTAA